TGTGTCGACGTATTATGTTCTCTCTCAAAAATGTCACATATATGCTGCTGAGGAACACTCAATCAAACTTATTTTCCTTTCACCAATGTAGAAGCTGCCCACTGTACAATTTAAAAAACGATGCCATAACTTACTTAAAAAAACTACATCACCATATCACAGCTGTCTTTTAATATAGGTTATACTGTCTCTATGTATATAATATAATTTTGTTTTAACATGCTAGTCAATGAAAGCTAGAATCCAAAGGAAGCCTTTCATGGACAGAAAGCATTTTCTGCTTGCCCAAGGTGTCTGTGAGAGACAGAAGAGAGACAGACAGACTCCGATTTACACAAGTTCATTTCCTAGCAGTTGCACTTCACATGTGCATGTTACTTTTCAGTCCATAGAGTCAGGGACTGCCATAACAAGGGGAATTAGAAAAGCCCAATACTACAGACACAACTCTTCCAGCAGTTCTTTTAGACACATGTCATTGCTTTCTTATCTCAAACAGCTCTACAAAGCTACTAAGGCTGTTTCTATACTTCATTAATGAAGTTTGCAGTTGCATTAATGCGGTCTGACACCGCTTTAACTTCCATTGCTCAATGCTATGGAATTCTGGAATTTGTAATTATTGAGATATTTAGCCTTTTCTGTCAGAGAGTTCTGGTGCCACAACAAACTACAGGTCCCAGGATTCCATAAGACAGAAACGTGACAGTTAAAGCAGAATCAAACTGTATTAATTGTGCAGTGTGGCAGCAGTCTAAGGCAGATTTGGGAAGCATACGGCCCTCCACATGCTGTTGGACTACAACTCCCACCAACCAGCACCAACCTAGATCATGTCAGACAATAGGAGTTGCTGTCCAACAATATTGTGAAGGCCACATATTCCCCTTTCCTGTACTAAGCTATCTTCATCCTCTTACTGTTTCTAGGGCCACATTTTTCCATAGAACCATAGAACCATAGAATCATAGGGTTGGAAGAGACCACAAGGGCCATCCAGTCCAACCTCCTTGAAGGCAAGAATAAACAATTAGAGCACTTCCAATAAATTCTGGATTTGTCTTTTCCACCCCCCTGTTAAGCATTTTTTTCCTTGAGTATCCCTTTTGATATTATTATTGTTTTTGTTGTTGTTGTTGATCATGAGTTTAGTGCAATAAAGAAATGTTGCTATGGCAATCTCAAAATCACCTGCCTACAGTTTTGCAGCTTCGTAAAGGTTATTCAGAAACTGATTTTCTGGAAGACCAGTCCCACTATGAGATTTCCACTGCCCTTATACCACATGGATTCCTCCCCTAAATATTGCATTTTGAATTGGCACTATTCTAAAGCTGACCTGCTATCATATTTCTGTTATCACTTTCCAGAGGGGAACATTTATTCTCTCATGCATGTATGAGCACTTGACTTGCTCTCAGAGTAATGCCTGAAGGTTAGCATTTCTCTCCTCTCAGAACCCCCCCACCCCTTTCTAAATATTCACATACAAATACATATATGCACATCCTGACAACTGTAAACTGAGCAATATAACTACTATCACTCCATGTGGCACCACTGGATGGAAAAATAAAAAATCCAGGAAACTTTGATTCTCTTTAGAGTCAATTTTAGTGCTTCTTCTCTGAATGCGAAAATGAGGGCTTGCCCTACCATTAGGCACAAGGAGGTAGTTGCCTTAGGGCCTTTGCAGACTGCCAGAAATAGTGCAAATTGAGTCCACTTTAACTGTCCTGGCTCAGTGCTAGGGAATCATGGGAATTATATTTTTTTCTGAGACATTGAGCCTTCTCTGTTAGAGAACCCTGGTGCCACAATAACCTACAGTTCCCATGATTCCCTAGCACTGAGTCAGGGCAGTTAAAGTGGACTCAATTTGCACTATTTCTGGCAGTCTGCAAAGGCCCTAAAAGGCAACGGATGCTTTGAGATAGTGGGAAGGTATTAAGAAGTGGGCTACACAATCTTCCTTATATGCATGCATAGTATATGTATATTCCTTCAAGTGGCCTGCTGACTTATTTTTATTTATTTTGTTTACTTCTATCCTGCCTTTCTCTGAATATAGGGTCTCAAGTCAGTTGGCCTAAGTAACTTATGGCAACCTCAAAAATTTCATAGGGTCTTCTTAGGCAATGAATCCTCAGAGGTGCTTTTGCCAGCTCCTTCCTCTGAAATATAGCCTACAACTATATTGACAGTCTCCCATCCAAATATTAACCAGAGCTGACCCAGCGTAGCTTCCAAGATCATAAGGGATCTGGTGCCTTTAGGACACACAGACACCCCTAAGTGAGTTGCTGCCTCAGTTGTGATGTGGGCGAGCACATTGTGCCATCACTTAGGTTGAGGAAAGTTTCAACAGCCATTCAAATTAGCTTTTACGTGGAGTGGGTGTCATGTCTTTGCTCCAGGCAGCAAAATCTGTTAGGCCAGCTCTGCTGTCAATTCTTGGGGTTAGCAACACATGATTCTAATGTCTACCAATCATGATTTTTCATAAATTAAACACCAGATACTGTACTAGGGCTTGACTTTCATTGAGACCACAGTGTGCAAGGAGGCTGGTTTAAGCTCTTCCCCAGGCTTGTAAATTCAGTCCCTATCTCACATCACATAACAATCAGCATTAAGGAAAAAACCCACTGGCATCAATGGGCAAATTTCTGCACCTAGGAGATATATTTTTCTACCAAAGTTGTGGCAGAGGAGGGAAGACTATCACTACCAACATCATAATGATTTACCGGTATAACCTGCCTTTGAGACTCAAGGAGGCTTAACAAATTGAAACCTGTACTAGCTGAATACATAACTCCCCCAAATCAACATTAAAATAGAATTAAATTATTCACAATATTAAAACAATTTAAAACATAGATTTAAAAATAATTAAAAAGCAGTTAAAGCAGTTAATACAGCACTCTCATAAAAACCTTTCTTTAAAAATGCTCAGTTAAAAAAGAAAAGGAAAAAGAGATTCCACCTAAACATTAGGAAGAAGAACCTCCTGATGGTAAGAACTGTTTGACAGTGGAATATTCTGCCTTGGAATATGGTGGAGTCTCCTTCTTTGGAGGTTTCTAAACAGAGGCTGAGGGTCAGTGTGGTATAATGGCTTGAGTGTTGTATGACTCTGGAGACCAGGGTTCAATTCCCCACTCAGCCATGAAACTCACTGGGTGACCCTGTCAAGTCAAAAGCTCTCAGCCTCAAGGAAGGCAATGGCAAACTTTCTGTGAACAAATCTTGCCAAGAAAACCCCAGGATAGGTTCACCTTAGGGTTGCCATATGTCAGAAACTACTTGAAGGCATATAACAACAATTAAATAGAGGTTGGATGGCCATCTGTCATGTGATTGTGTATTCCAGCACGGTTGGACTGGATCACCCGTGTGGTTTCATATGATTCTATGATCCTTATTTATCTAGTGCTCACCTGAAGCTCATCAAATATTGTGAAAATATATATGACTGAAGAGAAGTCAAATACAATAAATGTCATTGACCAAACCAAGATTGCTGCTTGTAAAAGACAAGATCTGTTCCAGTTCCCTCTTTTGCAAAACTGCAACTTTTTCACATCAACTGCTCTCCAAATGTCTAAGACTGAATGTGTGTTCAAAATCAGTTTGGCTTGCAGCTGAGAGATCACTAACAAGATTATTTTCTTCTTTTCTTCTTTTTAAAAAGTTTAGTAAAATAATTTCCTTGAACCTCATATCCATCCACTTCCACAGCTTGCAGTCAATTGTTCTTGTCCCATAGCTCATGTGTTGGTGCATCACAGGTTTTTTGGTCTGAGACATTTATCCATGACAGTAGTTCTTCCAAGTCTGGGTCTTCCCAGATATACTGGACTACAACTTACAGGTTAAGGCTAAGCCATTTGGAGGCACCAGAGAAGGCTGACTTATACCATGGGAGAGCTATTGGCCATTGCCTTAATATACTAAGGTACTTCCCCCAGGATAAATGAGAGCCAGTGTGGTGTAGTGGTTTGAATGTTGGACTATGACTAGGACCAGGGTTTCAAATCCCTGCTCAGTCATGGAAACCTACTGGGTGACCTTGGGCAAGTCAAATTTTCTCAACATCAGAGGGAACAAAGGCAAATGCAAATCTCACCAAGAAAATCCCTTGATAGATTCACTTTAGGCTTGCCAAAAGTTGTAACCAACGTGAAGGTACACAACACCAACAACAAAGTGCTGAAGGATGAAGAACAAGGCAAAATTCTACTTCATATAACAAGGGGTTGTATCCTGCAGTGCTCCACTTTCCAAGCATGTACAAATTAAAATCAGTAACAATTTGTTCCAGAAACTATGGTCTATACATTTAGATATAGATCGCATGGATCACAAGCGTTGCTTTCATACTGGGTACACTCATGCCAAAACTATTTATCTAATTTTAGTAACTCCAAAGGACTGGAATGAAACCATTGCAAAGCCTTTTGTCTCTATTTTAACTCAAAAGGTTTAATAAATTCAGCGGCATCACTAGGGTTGGTGTCACTCGGTGTGGGTGCCTGGAAAGGGCTGTTGGAAGGCAGCTGTGGTGGTCTGCCCCAACCCTCCCTCCTCTCTTTCTGTTGCCTCAACTCACTTGCCCCCCCAGCTGCCCAGCCACTGGCTTCCCAGACCCAAGAAAGGCTGCTGGGGGGGGGGTTGCTGGATGGCCAGGCAACTGAAGCAGTAGGAGGGGATGGAAGGGAGGGCATGACTTCTTATTTGGGCTTGTCTCCAGCTGAGTATCTCAGCCAAAGGAACCAGAGAAGAAGGGGCTGGAGCCAAGGGAGCAGAGAAGAAGGGTTAGGTGCCGGCGGATGCAGTGATTTGCTGCTGCTACTTGGTAGCTGGCCAGGTGGGGAAGGAATGTGATGATGGCAGGAAGAAGAGCCTGTGGTGCCAATTCCACCTTTACCAGCAATTCCCTTTCCTGGCTGGCCAGCAGCCCTGCCAGACCTAGAAGGGGCTGCCAGGTGGCATCAGCACCACACTCATCCTAGCAGCTGCAGTGAGTGGAGGGCCCGACCAGATGTCACCTCCCCTGAGATGTCACCTGGTGCAGTCAGAACGCCCTGTACCTCCCTAGTGACACCTCTGAACAAACAGAATGCTCTCCTTTGAAATGACAATCCAAGAATCCATGGGGACATGTTGTTGTTAACTGCCCTTGGGTTGACTTCAACTCATGGCGATCCTGTGGATGAGACATCTCCAAGACTCCCTGTCCTGCACTGTTCTGCTCCTAAAGATGTGTTTTTGCTGGTCATGTTCTATTGCTCTGAGTCCCAGAGTGTGGACGCCCTTCTCTCTCCAAGACCACTATTTCTGTTAACCCAATTCCCTATTAATCCTATTTCATACCAGGGAGAAATAAAAATTTCAGAGCACAAGATGGGCCCACCTCTCTCTTGTTAGTTCACAGGCCTACAGCTCTATCTCTTTTTCTATTTTCTTGCCCTCAGCTTCTAAAGTGTGGACAAGAAATGAATGAAGGTCTTCTGATCCACATGTCATTTTTGCATGCCTTTAATTATAATGGGGTTGGGAATCAGGCAGCCCTACAGATGTTTTTGGAGAGAAATGTCTAGCAGCCCTAGGCAGCATAGCCTATAGTGAGGAATACTGGGACTGTAGTCCAACAATATCTGAAAGGCCACCCCAACTTGTAAGTTCATCCCAAAATGCTGTCACTTTATCTGGAAACTTTAAAAAAAATAAGCAACATTTTCCTCTCAAAAAGTGGAGTTCATACCATGACATTCTACTCTTTGAGCCATGGAGGGCATTCCTTACCTTGGCACTCTGTGGAGTTTTAAAGAAGATTGTTTTTCTTTTCCTTACCACAGATTTCTATATGCTGAATATCTAGGAAGGCATTCTCAAAGGAAGGAGTGCCCTCTGTAGAATTCAGAAGAATTTACATTTTGATGTCAAGGACTGCACAGCAACATTTGGAGAAGGATGAAATCTGCTTGACAACTAAATTCTGATTTATTTGTTAGTCTAGCAGGTGACAATCAGATAAGTTCCGATTAGAATTCACAACCTAATTCCTCCAGCATCCCTGGTGTGGAACAAGATCTAACATCATTTGGCCATATTGCTTTAATATCACAGATGGATTAACTGAAAAGGCTCCCAAAAAGTGGACAACAAGTTTTTTTCATTAACTCTGCCCACCTAGTTCAGAGCATGCAAAAATTCCATTAAAACAGAAGCCACGCACACATCCTGTGTAACATGGACAGATGGTTCCCTGGAGTGAACCTGCTTTTCCGAGGAGGAGATGCATTTGTCTATCTAAGCAGAAAAGGATACCCAAGAAGCAGCATCTCTTGCTGACATGTGGAGTGTGCATAGCCCTCTGCACAATAAAATTAAAGCCCTCTGCCAGGGTTTGTATTCCACAGCACCTCCTCCTGTGTGCATTAAACCCTCACAACAAACACTTGCAGGCTCCTTGTCTGTACCTGTTAGTCTTCCTTTATTTCCAAGGACTGTGAATAATATACTCTTCATTTGCTCTTCAGTCCCATTTTGTATTTACCAGCTTCTTCCCACAGAATCATAGAGAGAGAATATCCCACAAGGGCCATCCAGTCCAGCCCCCCTGCCATGCAGGAATACACAATCAAAGCCCCCCATCTGGACAGATGGCCACCCAGCCTCTGTTTAAAGACCTCCAAAGAAGGAGATTCCACCACACTCCAAGACAGTGTGTTCCACTGTTGACTGTAAGGAAGTTCTTCCTCCCTTCAGTCCCTCTTGTAGGGATGGGGAATGCGTGGGACTTCAACTCTCACAACTCCTCAGCATGCTGGTGAGAATTAATGGGAGTTGCAATCCAAACACATCTGGAGGGCCAAGTGTCTCTCACTATGTCCTTTTCCTTTATTCTCCTGTATGTTTTTTGGTCTATCTGTACTTCTTGCTGAGTTCAGCAGCAGGAATGGTCTGCAGGGCTTTAAGTCTCCTAGCAATTTATCTGCTGAAAAAGTCTTTGATGGAAGTGCTTAGTTCAACATGGGTGACTGCCAACAGAACAGAAAACTTGATGCCAGGTCCCTCATGCACCTCTGAAAGCAGAGGGAAACCAATGCAAGATGTGGTGATGTGGGACCTCCTCTATCTCCAATTTCAGTTTCAGTGACCTTGAGGATGTCGGAGAGGTCAGTAACAAAGGGTAACTGGCCTTATCACAAGGCAAAGGATGGGAGTGGGGATTATAATCTTATCCTTACCCCTTGCCTTGTGGGCCTAGATTGTTTTACAAGGATTTCTATATCATTTTTGTCTTCTTAGGCTGCTGCTGCACTGCAGAATTAATGCAGTTTGACACCACTTTAATGGTCATGGCTCCATCCTATGGAATCTTGGGGTTGTAGTTTGTTGTGGCACCAGAACTCCCTGATAAAGAAGACTATGGTAAATATCTCACAAAATTATAAATCCCAGAATTCCATAGCCTCGAACCACAGCAGATAAAAAGGTGTCAATCTGCATTAATTCTGCAACCTTAGTTGTATTTATGTAGCAAAATGTTTACTCCTCTTTCTAAGCTATCAGATGTTAGTTTTTGTGTGCCTTCAAGTAGTTTCTGACTTATCGTGACCCTATCATGGAGTTTTCTTGGCAAGATTTGTTGAAAGGAGGTTTGCCACTGATTTCCCCTGAGGCTGAGAGCATGTGACTTGCCCAAGATCACCCAGTTATTTTCCTGGCCAAGCTGGGAATCGAGCACTGGTCTCCAGAGTTGTACTCCAACACTATGCCACGCTGGCTCACACTAAAATCCCATCAAATATGCATATCTCTTAGCTTCCACTAAACAGCTTCACCTCTGCCATAGGGAAACAGAAGTGAATGGTTGCTCTCCATGTCAGAATATGTACACTGCTTTAGATCAGCCTTCTCTAATCTGGGGCACTCCAGACTGTTTGGACAATTCCCCCAAATTAGTCAACTAACTGTCAGGAGTGAAGGGTGTTGTGAGCTTAAACATCCGGAGGGCACTAGGTGTGGGAAAGTTTCATAACAGGGCCAGTTCATAAATATCATCTCAACAATACTTTGAATATTCCTATTATTCACCATGATTATTCTAACAGGTTAAAAAAAGGAGCTAGCTGAAGTCACCTACCATGGTCATCGCCTGGCCCTTTCTCTACTCTGCTGCTTCTCTGTGGCACAGAAGTGAACCTGGTCTCCAAGGCTGTACTAGTGAAACACAACCTCTGGTATTTTCTACAAGGCTGATAAGGCATCTCCAGAGATGGATTCTGTTCATCTCATCTGAGAGCCACCCTAGCAAAATATGGAGACATTCATCACCATAAAGTTGGCTTGCCAGGTGATGAACCTGTCACAGCAGCCATGAACATGACAGTGTGGGTCAACCATGATCTGTATTGACAGAAATCCACCAATCACAGATTGGAAAAGTTACTTTTTTGGACTAAACTGCCCAAACCAAGCCAGGGTGCTGGATGGGGGATTTTGGGAACTGCAGTTCCCCTTCAAACCTATTTTCCAAAGCTCTGGATAGCATGAATATTCAAAGTATTTCCTGGCTCAGAAATGGGAATCACATGTCCCTCCAGATGTTTTTGGATTGGAACTCCCAGCACTCCTAAACACAGGCTGGCCCTGCCAGGGCTGCTGGGAACTGTATTCCACCAACATCTGCCGGGAAATGTGATTCCCACCCTGTCCTAGTTCTCACAACTTAAAAGAGGCACTGGGTGCTCCAAAAAAGAAAGCTAATTGTAATAATTGTAATATAAAACTATCAAATGGCAATCATTTAACAATTTTTCTCTGAGGCAATTCTTGTATTACTTTTTTTATGATACCAGTTCTGAAATCACACACCTGTGCCTGAAAATGAATGAAAACACAAGAAGTGACTACATTCATATATTTGAATGTCTCAGAGAGAGAGAGAGAGAAACAATGTACCAGTACATCACACAATTTCCTGCTTTTCTCAAGAAAGAGAAGGAGGAAAGAGAGCAAGACTGAGGTACAGACCTATTAT